GATAGAAAATTATAAATTAACTTATTAAATTGAAAGTGTTTGATAATATTAATTAATGAATTAACTCGTTAATATTAAATGTCATTTTTTTTAGTTTAATAAGAAAAATGGGAGACTAATACGTAAATGAAATAATTTTCAAATTAAAAAGTAAAAACATTTTTAAAGTAAGTTAATAATAATAAAAAGGAAAGAAAAAAAGAGTTAATAGCTTATAAATTATAAGTTACTTTAATATTAATTTATGAAAATAAGCTATAAGTAAAAAAGTAAGCTCACATATATAGTAAACAAACTTATTTTGGTCAAATAAATTTATAAGTTCGCTAAATATCTTGTCAAACATCTTAATTGATTTTGTAAGAATGTGTGTCCTATTTTACAAATTTTATATTAAATAATTCGGTGTAGAACATACAAAAATGTATAAGAAATTCAAAATCAATAATAATAGTACAATAAAATAGAGCATATTAGTAAAAAAATTCACATCATATTAAATTGATTTTATTAAGAAAGAGTGGACTATTTCGTTAGCAAGACTCCTTTTAATTTTTAACTTTTCCCCAACAAGAGAGGCTGCTTCAATCACATATCAACATTTGGTCATTTTGCTTTTATTCATAAATAATGCCCTCAAACTTGAACTCCAATCAATAAACAAAAAAAGTAGCATACTTCAAACGTGGAATTAACTTATATAATTCCATAACGCAATCATTGAGTGTTTGTCTGCGACAAATGTATTGAACAGACATGACGTCTTAACAAATTACACTTTAGTACGTAGTTTGAAAGGAGAGAAAAGCCATATAAATTAATGTCATTTTGCATCAACGACGTTGGGAATAAATAATTAATCCATGTCAAATTGTCAATAATTTTACTCTCCTAATTGCCGTACGTTCTTGATTCTTCGAATTTCAACAATTTGTTTAATCCACAAGCAAGACGAATAACAACACAACACATGACTAAAATGTGTAATAATTAATGATTGTTTATAAACTCATCATTCTTATCTTGCTCTTCAAGTCTAAGTTTTTAAAATTGGTCGTATATTCGGTCGTCGCATGCCTCTTTGCATATTCTTCCATTCAAGCTCACGAAAAGCAAGAAACGTGTATGTGGAAGATAAGCATTTGGTTGCTAATTGCTATCACTTCGTTATACAAGTCTCTTTCCAATCTTGAAAACTTAACATTATTTGCTTATGCACTCCATTCATATAGTAATATGACAAATTAACTTGCTTTAAGCTAGTGATGTGTGTTCTTCTAACTCATTTTCATTTCTTTTAAGAAAATTCATTTGTATTTTTCTTAATTTCGTTGGAAAAAGGAGAAAAGAACAAATAGAATGTCTTTATCTCCATAATTGATCTACATGATAATATTAATTAAAAATTGCTTTGAACAATATTCCAATATAATTAGGTACACATATTGACCACTTCCACTTTACCATGTACCAACTCTTATTTTACTATCTTTTTATATTAAAATACATAGATGTTTGTGCCAAGACTGCTGGAAAAATTAAGGTGGAACTACTGTTTTAGACCTAGGTTAGGATGCATATGAATTCAAAATGAAGACCATAGACATTCATGTTTGAACTTGGAATTTGGAATGCTTGTTAATTTAGCAGGTATATTGAACCTATTAAGCTATGGTTGTGTTATTCGATTAATACATGCATATAAATTTATTGAATTTGAATAAAAGTTGTTGGTTCTACTTGTAATTAATTATATACAATTCACTGATATACTTAAAAAAAAAAATATGAACACATTTCCAAGTTTCATTATTTGCTTTTAATAAAAAAAACCATTTTAGTTTGATAGAATTTTTCGTTGTCTTTTGAGTCAACATGATATATATTCTTATTTAACTGATCAATTTAATGACACATTCAAATAAGGACAAAACTTATATAGCATTGTTTTATAATTAAAATTGAAATTTCACCTCGATAAAGTGTAATAAAAGATTTAATTAAATATTAATATGAATTATTAAGGTACGAATCTAATTACTAATTGAAAAACATTACTAATATTTATATTTAAGATTTGTCCTTAAAATAATTAAATTCGTTAATATTTATATTCAAAAAAAAAAAACAAAATCACGATATATATATATATATATATATATATATATATATATATATTTGATATGTTACTTATAAAATAATTACCTCAGTGACGCATTAGTCATATACATATACTACCCAAAAAATTACCCAATTGGTTTTTTTGTTTGTTGAAATCATGATAAGAAAAAATGCTAACTAAAATACATGAGATAATTTAATTTGATCACAATGAACAACATGTGTTTATCATGAGCCTAATTTGAGTTTTGTTGATCCGCTACATAGGCCCAAATGGGAATGTTCTCCAGGTCGTATGGCTGGGCTTGGTGCCGAAAATGGACAGAGACCATCGCAAAATTGATTGGTTAATGATATATACACCTCCATTTTTTTATACATACACTTCCTTATTTTAAAAAAAATATTAAATTCCTAAATTATTCTTAATATTATTTGGAATAAAAAAAAATTATTTTAGAAAGTATTTTTCAAAGGTTGATGATATATACACCTCCTTTTTCCTATAAGTACACCTCCTTTTCAAAAAAAATAATTAAAATTTTAAAATATTTTTAATTTTTTGCTTTTTTTTTAATTTTACATTCACAACATTTAATTTAATACTTTTTTTTACAGATCTTTCTTTTTTCTTTTTTTTTTCTTTTTTCAATTTTTACATGCACCCCGTTATCTTTCCTTCACCCCACCTATTTTGGTAGCATGTAAAAATTGAAAGAGAAAAAAAAAAGTGTGTGAAGAAAAAGAAAAAAGTAGAAAATTGAAAGTTAAAGATATAAAATTAAAAAATATATATAATATTTTATAATTTTTTTAAAAAAATAAAGAAGGTGTACTTATAAAAAAAACAGGAGGTGTATATATCATGAGCCTTTCGAAAAGAACTTTCCGTCAGAATAATTACATAAAGTATTTTCCAGAATACTTAAATTACTATTCCAGAAATAACTTTTCGTCAAAATAATTATGAAAAATACTTTCCGTAACACTAGAATTACTATTCATTTGTTACCATAATTCCGGAAAGAACTTTTCGCAATAGTAATTTTAGTATTACAGAAAGTACTTTCCAGAATTATTTCGACGGAAAGTTATTTCTGAAATAGTAATTTTAGTATTCCGGAAAGAACTTTCCATAATTATGTACAAATACACCTCAAAAAAAAAAAAAAATTTCAGGATAATTTTTTTTTATTTCAAATGATATTAAGGATAATTTAGAAATTTAATATTTTTTTTTCTAAAAAAAAGGTATATGTATAAAAAAATGGAGGTGTATATATCATCAGCCAAATTGATTTCCTATGAACTCAGAGCTGGTACCTTGGACGAGACTTTTGTGGCCCAAATCAAAATAAATCACACCAATCATATAAAAAATAATATATATACAATAATGAAACATTATGATATTACATATGATTTAATAAGGTTAAAATATTGCTTCAAAAAAAAAAAAAGGTTAAAATATTAAATTAAATTTCTAAGGCTAAAAAATTCCAATTTCAAAAAAATCTGGAATCTCTAAATTAAATTTTAAATTCCCACCTCTTAAAATTAAACCTATATTTCAATGACAACGTTCAATTATTATATATTTATACCATAAAATTTTCTATTGCAACAATATGAATGCCTAAAATTCTATTGTTATATTAATAAAAATTTTACTTTAAAGTTTTTTAAAAATTTGGAATTAAAAGCCAGGACGTTACATTCACCGATATATTAGGTTGAATAAAAATGAGTCGAGAATTTATTTTTATTTCATCTAAAACTTTGATTGAGTAATTCATTTAAAGTTAAATTTGATCTGATCAATAATTAAAATATATGAAATATTATTTTTGAAATATAGTATTGGTAAGGATATCTACTGACATCACCTAAAATTAGATTTATTCGAAATCTTGATTATATTAAAATTATTATTTCAAATTATTTTTTTTAATCAAATTTAAAATTCTAATTCAAGATCTAGAGATTTGAGAATTAAAACTTAGAGATTTAAAAATTAACAATAACACTAAAATAAAAAATATATGAGATGAAATCGAATCAACTATTTTAATATAATATATCATTATAAATATTATGTATAGTTAAATTATAGAATAAAAAAATAAAATTAATTATATTCAAATATGTTTTACAATATATATTTTAAAATAAATAATCATTATAAATATAATATCACGTTACATAAAATACCTAAATTATATTCTTTGCAAAAACACAGTGATTTATATAAAACTGTTTGGAGTTTAAGGAAGATGTCAAAATATAATAAAAAAAGTACCTAAATCTTACCCAGTAAATCTCTCAAAATAAGAAGTTAAGATGATGTACAAACTATGCAAACCCTACACCATTCTTATATCATCCTTAATGTAGTATTGGAATTCCAACTTTAACCCCAAAAAATCAAAACTATAGTTATTTATAATTAAATTATAGTTATATATTTTTTAGTGTATATATTATGTATTTTTTCCATTGCGAAATTTGTGGAGGAAATAGAAAGTTTTCTTTTATGTTCTGTTTGAATTACAAGTGAATTAGAGAATAGTAAAACAGAAATTTTTTTTTTATGAAAGATAGAAATGAAAAAAAAAGTGATATTTGAATGAATAGAAATTGAGAGAAAAAAGTATAATAATTTTTTCTCCACTCATTATATAAAAAATATATTTATATTAATTGAAAATATAATTCTTTACTTTATTATTTTCTTCTTAACTCTATATTGTTTATTAAATTTAAAAATAAATTATCAAAAAATTACTCATTTTTTCAAAGTTAAAAAAAAAATCTCTAAATCATAACAAATAAAGAAAGATTTCCAAATTAATGAAAATTTTCAATTCTTTCTGTTCCTTTATGCAGTCTCTACTAACCAGAGAAGTAAAAAATATCATAGAATCTCTGAATTCAGTCCATTTCTGGATCCAAACTAACAAGTATTAGCAAAGAGAAGTTAGGATGAAATGAATGAAAAATCGCAGACAGCAATGAACATGAACTCAGAGGCAAAAGGATTAGAAGGTTCGCTGCAGCATATGGTTGAAGTTCACCACCACAAATCCCTCCTCCTTGCCCACAACACGGGTCTCTCTTCCCTCTCTCCCCCTTCCTTCAAAATCCAATCTTGCGTCGCTAACGCCAACTTTGTCCACGTGGGTATGCAGAGAAAGCGAAGAAGGACGCGATTAGGAAGGTGGAGCGCGTTTCTGATCTCTTGGTGGAAGCCGTGAATGGTGGGGTCCAAGACTCCTTCATCAACCAGAAGCGAATTGAGCTCGAAACTCGAACCCTAGCTGCCACCATTACCAGGTTCATCAAGCAAACCGATCAGTGGCTCGCTGCCACTCATGCCCTCAACACTGCTCTCAAGGTATTCTTATCGTTTCTCCTTTTTAGTATTCATCAACGTCTTGTTGAATTTGCTAAATTTTTCATATTTGAGAGCCCTATTTTATAATTTTGTTCTTTCCATTGTAATTTGAAAATTGTGATCATGGTTTTAAATTGCTGATCACTAGGGTCGGCCATGGGAGTGGGGGTTAGTATGCATTGCTGATGTCGTTATTGTAATTTTGATGTATAAAAAAAATGCTGTCTTGGTCATAATTGAGGTTTCTTTGCGGTTTTTAATACTGTAGAAAATTGTGAATGAATGTGGTTGATTTAGTTGTAATTCCAGAGACTCCAAAAACTTTGATGTTGTGGTGGTAATTGCGGTTATTGACTGCTTTTTGAAACCTTGTTTGTAATGTATTTATTGTTATTGAGTTGTGCATTGGGCATAGTTATGGATAATTTGTGTGGATTAGAAGGGATATGTAACAAGACAACAACCTTGGTTGTGATTAGTTGTAAATGATTTTGGAGAATTTTATTTGTAAATGATTGTTGTTGTTGTTGTCTGATTGCAAATTAGGAAGTTAAGGAGTGTGATTGACATGCCTGCTCTTGAATTTATTGGGCATGGTTTTAAATTACAGTTGTGGTTGTAGTTTCGTTGCGTTTCTTGATATCGCTGAAATAGTAGAAAATTGCAACTAATGGCTGCAACTGCGGGCGCCATGCAGTTTTGAAGACCCCAAAAACCTTAGTGCTGCAATTGCAATTGCGGTTGCCGACCATTTTTTTAAACCTTGTTGTTGAGCTAGTAAATTAAACTTCGACTGTGACATTTATTCTTGCCATATGGTAGACGATTGATGGCATGCCATTTTTTAGTTTCTCTTTTGGCACTTTCTGGCTTATGAAAAGCTTTAGAGGTTTGGTTCTGTGGTTTGGGATATCACTGTAATTTTAAGGCTAGTGCAGGAGTTTAATTCTGGAAATAGGCATCCATCATGTTGTAGAGTAACCATGGGATAAATGGTTTAGTAACTAGAATACTTTATTTTGAAAGACTCTTTGTGCACAATTATATGATTGAGTATAAAGATGGAGTTGGAGGAGATGTTTAATATCTAATGTCTTGTTAAATTTGGCTTATATTACAATAATCTATTATTCTATACTATATATTGTGTATTTTTCTTTGGAGGCAATTGTCAAATACAAGCCATCTAAAGGTTGATCTGTGCTTAACTTATTATTTAGTTATTTGCTTTTAATCAAATATGGTCAACTTATTATAATCTGTCATCTCAACTCATAGGAAATTGGAGACTTTGAGAACTGGATGAAGATCATGGAATATGATTGTAAAAGTATCACAACAGCTATACAGAATATCCACCAAGATTGATATGACAAGTTTTCAAGCATGTCACCATGTAATTCTAAATTTTAATCCCTTTTCATTCATATTTCTACTGTAGGCATAATACCCAATATCATGTATTAGTTCATTAGATAACCATTTGTCTTTTTTATTTTTATTTTTTTCATTTATTTGATTTATTAGATAACCATTTCACTTTGTTTTCAATGAAGTTATTGGTTTGGAGAAGCAACAATTGATTGTTATCCTTATGTTGAATAACTTATATTTTGTTATTATCAAGTTTCATGCATGTTTAATTTGAAAGACTATTTCACTATTCACTAAATGAGAGTAGAAAGCATTAAAAGGAAAACAAATGCTTTGTCTTTGTGCTCTTATCTTAAAGTCTGATGTATTTGCATATTGGATATGGCACACTGTTAAAGTTTTAGCAATACCTATACAACAATATCATATACAATGTATTTGATGAGCTAAACTTGCAAACAATATTCAAAGTCTCCAACATTTCAGAACATACAAATATGAAGACAATCAATGAAACTTAATCAACATGCAAATAATTTAACCAGAGACAATGATGTGCAGAATATAACACATAACTAAACACATAAATCATAAGTGATATAACAATTTGCAATAACAGTGATAACAGAACAGATTTGCAGAAAATGATTTGAATTTGTGGATGTGTTCAAGGGTCACGATCTGGATTCCCATAAATTGCTGAATTTGCAGATAACACTTGTGTATCTCATCTGTATTTATGATAAAGTATATATTACTTAATGATGAAATTATTTTAATGATGACAACTTCCCTAGATAGTCTAATATGAAAATCTCAGGTAAATTATGTTAGTCAATGAGCCCAAAAGCACTCCAACAAATACTTGTGGCTGATGATTCGTGGTCTTGCACACTTGCACATGATAGGAAGTTGACCCAAATTTCCCTCCCTAGAGTCAACCTTGTTAAACTTTATGAACCAACCAAAACGAAATGACTACAAAGTGAGAACTGGACTTGTTTAACATGTATCAACTTCGTGTGATATGTGTAAGAAATTATGTGACATGCTTTTGCTCATCTTGTGCAAGAGGGTTTGACTTATCCTGTTTGAGATAACTTCCACACTGTTCTGGAGTCTAGTAAGATGAAATTCGGTTACCCTTTTTGATAAACTTTTCAAAGAATCATTATGATTAGTGATTCTCAATAACCTTTATAAGTTTATTGGTGCTTATAAAGAAATTAGATAAAAGAGTTTATAAAAAACTTAAGTTGTATAAATAAGTTTTGCTCACTATACCTCCTTAATTTGAAGTTTGGGAAATATATATAAGGATATTAAGACATCAAGATATCAAATTTAATGAAGTGATACCTTTTATTGAAAGTGAATGTGATTAATTCAACTGTAGTTGATTTATGTGATATTATCACCATAATCTTACATATAAAACTATACACAATTTAGACGGACATTCATAATTTATGCAATCTAATAGTAGTAATTTACTTATATTTTAAATAATATATTATATATTTAAATAACGTGAGATAATGAAAAATCAGTTACTTTTTTAATTGTGTAAAATTTAATAGATTTAATATACTTTATAAAATTTTTAAATTTATTGGTGAAATTTACTTTTGATGAAAATTTATTGAAAATATCATTTTATTAAATTTGACACCAATGCTTTATGTTAGGCTTGATAATACATTCTTATATTTTGGCAGTTGCAAGTGGTATGATATGCTTAGTAAATAACTTTTGTCCAATGAGTATACGAGCATACAATCAAGTGTTTGATCTTTGATTATTTTTTATATATCAGTAATTACAACAATAATAAATTCATACATTGATTCTAATCCTTCATCACTCAGTCGACATTCACTCTTTGAATTTGTGTATATGAAAAACATTTATTAGGAGATATTCAAATAGATCTCTAAGATTAAAGAGATTAATCCTTGACTTTTGATTAAAGGGTATTATGGTTAGAAAAAAAAAAAGAGTTGCCTTGTCACTCTTTGAGCACAACTTATGATAGTTTATTTTTCCTTTTAGTTTGATAATAAGTCTTTTTCTAGGATTATCTTTGCAATTTAAAATTTGCTTATTTTCAAGTTTTTCCTTGCATGTATGTGTTTTTTGGTATTGAAAATAGAAGGAATGGAAAAGAAGGCAAGAGAAAGAAAAGACAAATATGATTTTCCTCACTATAGTTGTCTATGTAGGATGGAAAGCATACTTATTTTTTGTGGGACCGACATTTAAAAGGTTTTCTCTCCAATTTGGAAAAAAAGGAAAAAGGCAACCATTTTAATTGAAAAGACAAAATTATCCTTCATAATAATATATATGTATATTTATTGAAGGGTATTTATGTCATTTTATAAATATATCTTTTCTTTCCTCTTATTTTCTATTCAATCAAACAAAACTTATACTTTTCTTTTCTTTCCTTTTTAATCATACCAACACCAAACAATTAAAAAAATCATCTCACGTTCTACTCTTTTTTTTTTTCCTCTTCCCTTTCTCTTCTACTTTCATTCCTTTTACTTTTTCTTGTAAATCTAACATAATGGTAATTCTTGTAGCTGATTTTGTTTCTTAATGGAGATGTGTTCATTTAGGATTTTAATTTTTAAAAGACTAGTTGAAAAAAGAAAAACTTATGCATTTTAAAAGACTAAAATAATGATTTATAATTTTTTAGAAGACTTTTTTTTAAAAGACTATTTAACCTTCATTCTTTTGATGAGTCTTACTTTAGTTTCAGTATTCTTTGTCAGCTGTTCTCCTGTCTATGTTCGCCTCTTGGTGATGGTGGAAACGAGTAATAATAAAATATTTTCCCCCCTTTTTTCTTATAAAGAGTCTCACATGCTTATCAAATAGATAATGATGGAGATGCTAACCTTTTTTATTAGCATTATTACTATTATTTTAAAATTTATCGCCTTGATTTTATTTATTTAAAAAGATTAGGTTTTGAACTTTTGATATGTCTCAACGATGTCGGTTGAATCGGAATAAAGTTCGTTGTCGTTGTTCTTGTATTTATAACCTACAGGCTTTTCATACTGCATAAGAAATCAAATATTTGCCAACAACTATTGGGAATATTAGCTGGTCCTTTCATGTGTAAAGAAAATAATAGTATAACATATGGTGCAGGGTAAATTGACGAGTTGGTTTACGTAAGTCAATACTAATATATTATTTTTGTTTTTGATTGTCCCCTAAGTTAGTGCTACAAATCGCAGCAAAACTTCTCTATAACTATAAGAACGAAGATGATTGAATCCTATGACGACGGGATTAAATTGAAGGCATAGTGAGTAATCTGTATAGTGACATGGAAGATCCAAACCTTAATTTCAACATAAGAAGTTAGCCTATGTTATATTTATAGAGATACGAGATTATCTAGTTAATAACTCATATTTTATATTAAATTTTAACGATTTAATTATTTAATTAATTTTTTTAAAAAATATATAAATTAAGTTTATAAATTTTTAAAAAATAAAATTATTTGATATTTTGTTTCACTAATTTAAATTAATGGATGATTATAAAAATTTTAATAAATTAAAAAAATAAAATATCAAATAATTTTTTTATTTTTTTATTAAAAACCTTATAAGATTAATCTATATATTAAAAAATTTTAATTCAACAGTTGAATCTTTAAAATAATTTGATAAATAACATAAGTTGTTGAATAAGGAAAAACTTACTCTAAAACTAAGTTTAACTAAACTTACATACTATAAAGAAAATTATTCAATACCTACAAACATTTGTTTTTAAATACTTGATGACAGTCAATAAAATCAAAAACTAAATTTATCTATAAATATTTGTGAACGTAAAGTTTCAAATACTTATATTTGTTTGTTTTGAATAAAATCTAAAAAGTCATTCATATATAACTCATATAATGGACAGTTAGATCATTTATAAATTAATGTAAAATAAATATTTATTTATAATTTTTTAACTTTCAGTGACAATTTTTATTTATTGCAGTCAATTTTCTTGTAATACATAATAATATTATAAAAGTCATTTATATCATAAATAATAAACAACTTTATAATTTTTTTTTACTTAGATTTACATAGAAGAAGAAACAGTTGTGTTTTGGATGCCAGCTCTTTTGCAATATAGAAATGTACTATGATACACTATAAAAGTTGATCAAGATGATGTGCTTCTACTGTATTTGAAGTCATTGGTTTCGAAGTTGATCAATTGGTAGCTTCCTCCTTTTTAATTTGATGCAGCAATGACTTAAATTCACTTTCACTTAGCAGCCAACCTTGGTCAAATGTATCAACCACAAAAGTTGGCATACATAGAACTAAAATATTATACATACATTAATAATGAAAATAATTAAACTAATGAATAATGTGGGTACCTTGTGTCTTCATTCCCTCTTATATAAATCCTCTCTCTAGCTAGCAATCTTGTAATAACCCAAAGGGCAATATCTTAGGTAGAAGCTTCATAACAAACATGGCTTCTCATCTTCAATTGTTGCTTGTGCTAGCTATGGTGACATTAATGGTCCAAACAAATGCAAATCTTTCTCCACATTTCTATGAAAAGGTTTGCCCTCAGGCATTGCCAATCATAAGGTCAGTGGTTCAAAGAGCAATTATCCGTGAGCGACGCATTGGAGCATCTCTGCTGCGATTGCATTTCCATGACTGTTTCGTGAATGTAAGTTATTACTATATACGTTCAACATTTTTGAATCATATGGAACAAGTTTGCTTTGAACCATGCATATGTTGAGTATGTCCTTTTTTGTATAAAGTACCAGCATGCGTCAATATTTGAGTAAACACGTTAGTTCTTAAAATTAAAGAAGTGTCGTAAGTCTAAAATATCAGTAAGTATCTAAAAAAGTGTCGTAGGTCTTTAAATGTATATAAACATTTTAAGTTTTTTTTTTCTTGAATTTTATTAATATTAAAATGACTATTTACTCGTAACTATTTTTAAAGATAAAGATGTGATATTCACATTTTACATTTCATAAGTTCAAGTCTGTTACTTCATTTTTTAGGGTTGAGATAAATGAAATTACATTTATGATGAGCATTTTTTGAGCTCAGAGGTTTTCTGGCTTGGATCAGAACGCCATCTCTTCTCCCTAAAATTTTATAAATATTAAAAAAAAGGTCTATTAATTTGTTCTAAGAATGTCTATGTGTGTAATGGCATGCATATATATGATTTTAGTTTCACCATTTAGTAACTATTGAGAATCATTGCCTTGCAACTCTTGTTTCCTTTACTAAGTTCTCGTGATATGAAATCTTTAGCTATTGGTCCATGTACAACCATGGAAGGAAAATAAATGAATAAAGTTCAGAGAGATGTAACTTTTTGTCTAATTTAATATTCAAAGTGAAACTGTTTTTTTCTCTCTTTTCAATTGTATTTTAACACTTATTTTTTGTTTCTCTTCGTTTTTCTTACCACATAACTTTTTATCAGATTCTCTTTCTTCCATTTCAAATTGCATACATGACAAAAGTCTGAAAAATTCTTTTTTTAATTCTTTTGCATGCATACATTGAAAGGAACTTTATAACAAACTGAACGTGCCAATCCATTGTATATAATATGCTTATTTTGCAATAATTGGTCGTGTAACCACTTTCTATATCTTATCATTCATAACAGTAGCAAACAATAATTAATTGGACTATATATATTATTTTATACGCAAGACACAAACAGACGGAACTCATCATGTTATGAAAATTTAAAATTGTTAGGAAAATACTGCACACCTAATACATGGCTGCTTGCTCCAATAATTTTTTCCAAATAAAAACAGTAGTTACTGTAACCACAACTTCAAGTCAAATTTCAATTTTCATTGATGTTCAAAGAAAGACTGAACTATAAATAGTTAATTTTATGCCTAGCTGTAAAATGTTGTATAACACGGCAATAATTAGTAGTTAATTAATTAGTTGGACCCCACATATAATAAAAAAAAGTTTCCAAAGAATCAAGAAAACATATTCACTATGTCATTTTCTACTAACTAGTAATTAATTAATCACCAAAGGCTCTACTAATGTAATAATTAAGTACCCAGCACTCATTGGCCACAGTCTATACAACGAAGAACTCGTATTTAATACTTATTATATGCAAAATATGGTCAAGTTAGCGACAAATATAATACTGTAAGTGAGATTAGTCTTCATTATAGTAAGTTAGAGATACCCATAGGCCATGGCAGGAGAAAAAGCCATGTCACTTCTACTATAGTATATAATTTAATTAACTGAGATACAATATCAATATATTAATGTGTTTGAAACAACAGGGTTGTGATGGATCGATTTTGCTAGATGACACCCGAAATTTCACTGGCGAAAAGACGGCATTTCCAAATGTTAATTCAGTCAGAGGTTTTTCGGTGGTTGATGAAATCAAAGCTGCGGTTGACAAAGCCTGCAAACGCCCTGTGGTGTCATGTGCAGATATCTTAGCCATAGCAGCTCGTGATTCTGTAGCCATTGTAAGTGTTACATTAATCTTTCACTCTCACAATTTGTCGATACTTTATAAATAATGTCATATACTAAAATTTTATATAATTATTAAGCTGGCTCCCATGCTTATAAATTTTATGTGACAGAAACTATAAATTTATAGTTAGAGATGATAAAATAGACCGAGTCATTGGCCAACCCAAATCTGTCTAGCAAATTTTCAATCTGAATTAAATATTTGATCATGAGTTGATTTAGACTTGCAAAATTCAGAAAAATTAGAATCGTCTAATAAATTGAGTTTGAATTAAAAATTTGATCATGAGTTAATTTAGACTTAACTCGCAAAATCCAAAAAAATTGGACTTTTATCAACTTAAACTCATTTTAGAATCTCAAATTGAATCTAAACATGTTTGTTTCAGCATATCATGACTTGCATCGAGACTAATAGTCGATCGTTTTTTTTTGTTGTCATATTTATTATTAGTGTGTAAGTCTATACTATTTCTTCAATTTTTATTAAACAAAGTCTATTTTGACATAAATAAATTTAATTCATTAAACTAATAATTTTGTCTTAAATAAGTTTAATTTAGTCGAATGGCATGTGTAATTTATGTAACTAATCAGATTTAATCAAATTAAACTTAATGATACATGTGACTCGTGTAATTAACCTGACTTAATCAAATAAGACTTGAATGACATGATCCATATATCTAATTTGACTTAGTCGTCAAATAAGATTTGAATGATACATGTAACCCATGCATCTAACCTAACTTAATCAAATAAGGCTTGAATAACTTGTGTAGTTCATATATTTTATGTCACTTAATCAAATAACACTTGAACTTGAATGAACATATGATCCATGTAACTTATATAAACTAGTCAAATAAGGTTTTGTCATTAGTTATGTTAAAAATTGCAAATGTAACATAGCATGCTACTTTCACTGTAACAGTATGGTGGTCCACACTTTTGGTACCAAGTGTTGTTGGGTAGAAGAGATGCAAGAACTGCAAGCAGGGCGGCTGCAAATTCCAACCTTCCTCCTCCAACCTTCAGTTTCTCACAGCTTCTTTCCAACTTCCAATCTCATGGATTGAACGTGAGGGATCTTGTGGCACTCTCTGGAGGCCACACCATTGGCTTTTCAAAGTGCTCTTCCTTCAGAAACAGAATCTACAATGACACCAACATAGACCCCAGGTTTGCAGCATCTTTGAGGAGGACATGCCCTAGAAGTGGAGGAAACAACAACTTGCAACCACTTGATGCTACTCCTGCAAGAGTTGACACCACTTACTACACTGATTTGCTGCATAAAAAAGGTCTCCTCCATTCTGATCAGGAGCTGTTCAAGGGACACGGTAGCGAAAGTGACAAATTGGTGCAACTATATAGTAGGAGTCCTTTAGCTTTTGCTAGAGACTTCAAAGCTTCTATGATCAAGATGGGTAACATGAAGCCTCTTACTGGGAGGAACGGAGAGATCAGATGCAATTGCAGAAGGGTCAATTAAGATTGCTAATTGCATGTTTTGAGCATAATAAAAAGTTTACGAGGGAAAGATAAGAAGCTGTATGATAATATTATCTACTATATTCTAAGGCATGTCAATATGTGTATTGTTCAAGAAGAGATATGTTGAGTTTGTGTGATAAGATTTAGTTGTTTGTGCTGTATGTTTTATTTTCATTCCAAATGTAATTAATTGTTTTCGACTAATAAGTTTTTCATATGCCAACTTAATTAGTGTAATTTTGTGCCTTTCGGGTGCAAATTAAATATTAATGCTTACTATAATTTATTTTGATGGCAAACCTCGCTAAGATACTTGTCATTTTATTAGTACGCATAAACAATTGAATAGATGGAATTATAATGTACATAATGGAGTGATAATGTTCTAAAATTTAAAATATCCGATGGAATGATAACACATGTTAAGTTTTCTTTTCTAAGGGATTTTTATAAAAATTAAATGATTCTTCTAATTGCGACTCTATATATAAGATGGGGAGTTAAAAATTAAACCTTTAATTTTACTTAAAAAATTTAAGTACCAAATCATTTGAATTAACAATTTTTAATTATTAACAACACTTACCAAAGAATAATTTCACACTTTTGTTTATTTTATCAGTAATACAGTAATATATTTGTTGTCAACACATACAATCAAGATAATGAAGTCCTATATTGTTAAAATAAGATAATAAATATAAGATAATAAATACACAAAATCTTTATCACAATGAGACTTTTTTTCTTTTTAGATGATAACTAAAAAAATCCGTAAAAGTTTAAATTTTAACCTAAAAACTTGTGAATTATAAGTATGTTAACTAAATTTAATTCTGATAGTGTAGTCCTTGCACAATAATTAATTAACATTCAACTATGGTGCAGAGAGTCTGACAGTGACACTAACACTGCTTTAGATTTTCATTCAGCTCTCCAATTTAGATATTATTTTCTTTCCTAAAATAAGGAAGTATAGTTATGCAATTGCACTTTATTATTTTGCTTTGTGAAAGAAAAACTCCCTTCTTTGTCTTTCGAATTTCTGTGCAACAGCCAAGTATTTGAAGCTCAATATGATAACCACAAGGCCCAAATTCAATTTAATCTTGTTTACAAGTATACCCTTTAGGTTAGCAATTTAATTACCATTGCATCAGTTTTGGGTGCTGCTTAAATCAACTAATTAATTAACCAATAATTCAATATTAGTCGGTCTAATCTATTGATTGAAAAACCTCGTCAACTGTCATGATCCAATTCAGTGATGTCCAATATTTTTTTGGATCATCATTCTGCAATTGCAAAAGAGCTGCGTTTTGTCCGTGACTAAAGAAAGCAAAATAATTTAATTGACATTAGAATTCATCTTAACGCTTTTAAGTTCTTTATCATTTATGAGGTGACTTTTGTTATCCATAATTATCATATTCAATTTAAATATGATTATCTTTTGTAGATCTTTTGTAGAGAATTATACAAAAAAAATTTTTAAAAAAATAATCAAATTCAACTACAAAACTTCTTTATCTTTATTATTTTTTATTAATCCATAATGAATATCCTTAACCATATATTTCTTTCGATCCCCACACAATTAGATAATATATTTAATGAACTCATTGTTGTTGTTTTTATGCTGACATATTAAACTTCAAATTTATGAAAAAAAATAATCAAAATAAAAATTACACCTTTAATCATTAAAGCAATCTCTTAAATTTTTATTATAATTTTCGTCTTTTCGACTATTTTCACATTCTCTGCATGAAATTGACTTTTATTTATAATTCAATTATAAGATTTATCGATTTCTGCTAATACCCATTATCGTTACTATGACAATATGGCTAGGATGTAGTTCTTTCATTTGACACAATAATAATTATCTATCGCTAATAGTGTAATGGTATTTATTCATATTTTTTACATCACCTTTTTATATATAGTTTTTTTTTTATATCTTTTATTATTATATATACGAGTTTAAGTAAAATTTTATTAATAGTATAAAATATTTTTACATTCACATTCAACAATGAATTGTGATCTATATCTATAACTATAATATAGATGATATACCTTTTTTTATATATACATTTTAATTATAATTTTACTTTTAAATCACTCTTTTATAAATTATAAACTACTCACACCTTTTAAATAATTACCTCAATTTACTATTTTTTTTTTGTTTTAATTCTTTTTAAAAGAGAGACACACTTTTAAATAACTATTTTATTTTACTAAAAGAGGCACTTATTCACTAGTTATTAATAAATAAAATTATTTCATTTAGTGTACAAATTTTTTTTGGACAATTTTATTTCTATAACCATCCCTCAAATTACTCTTTCTCTCTCTCTACTATTTTAAAAAATTATCCTTGCAACTATATCTATTCAAAAACTTATTATTCACCATTCATATTTATTTAAAAAAAAAACACATGGAGACACAATACCTTTTTTTATTTTTTATTTTTTTTATAGTAATATATAATAATATTGTTGATTTTTTCAATAATTATTTTTAAAATTATATCTATAATTTATAATGTAAAAGCTTGTACAGAATAATAATATAAAAATTAATTAACTCTTATAATAACACCCATATTGTGATAGACTTTTCTTCTGCTCTTCCTATCCCTCTCCACACATTGTAAAAAGCTAGTGTTTTGTAAAAAAGAAAGAATAAAAAAGTTGAAAACGTGATTACTTTACATATTATGGCATTATCATTACATAAAATCGTTTTGGGGGCACATTCAGTTTCCTTGTCCTACAACTACTTGGAAGTTTAGATGTTCCTTTCGTATCTTTTCAACTCAATAAAATATACAAGTGTTGTGTAGAGTTAAGGAAAAGCGTGTTGGGTAATGAATGTTCTCCAAGTATTGATCTAATGTATTAATTACTGCTAAGGCTGCTTTCATGCCACTGCATTACTCGTATATATATATATATATA